GGGTTAGGAAGAAGAGTATTTGCTAGTATGCTACGTACCCTTTAAATGGAAATCAAAGATAGAACTCCCAAATTTGTGAGAGAAAGCAATGCAATTGGTGACCAAGGTGAGAGGACAGAGCTACTTCTCCTGTAGCAACAAGGACCCTTGGTTCCTCTTGGACAGAAATAGCTCCTCTCAACTGCAAATTTTCTACCAGGCCAGGCAACTTTCAGGGCAACAACAGTGTGAATAATCTGAAGAGAATGATGATCCAAAAAGCCTCATAGTTAGCATCCCCCCAGGCCTCCAAGGGAATAAATACTGACTTCCTATAGTTTCTAGTCCTCCTTCTCTCTTCTTGCCCTACTCTAGGCAACTAAACAAAAATCTCTACTGAACTTCAGTGTGTCAAATATACCCTATATACCAAATATAACCTAGTGACAATATTTGGGATAGTTTGAAATCCAGATAACGTATAAGTCCAGCTCAGCCAGAGAAACAGCCACATCAGAGTGAAAGACAAACCTGTCTGTAGGGGAGACTGTAGCCGTATTTCTGCCTGCAGGTTGACCTGTCTACCCAGGCGCTGCTTGAATAAATATAGCATTACAGCCAGTCTGGATTCCTGGAATATTTATCAACTGGTGGTGAGGAAAAAAGCTGATTTACACTGTAGGATGTGTCTAAGTAGAAGTGTTTTAATGATCAGATGGAAAATTATTATTATTATTATATGTTATTACTATTATTACTAATAACCACCAAAAGGAAAGAGGTCAATTATCATATTATAAAGCTTTGGAACCTGTGTTTCCATGTGTGAATAAAGGCTGTCCCATTTCTCTTTGATTTGGGCCAGCAAAGGGATTCTCAGGAAGGCCAAGGGCAAACAAGCTAAGAAAGAATGCTCCTGTGAGTTCTGGAAGGGACCAGGTAACCTCAGGCAGTGGTGAAGGTGGCTCTAGTGTCTGCTCACCCGCTGTCTTTCCAAGACCACGGACTGCGGCAGGGAGTCGTAATTGCCCTCTTGATAAGCAAACGTTTCCAGGTCATCTAGTTGGGTTTTGAGCTGTAGTATAAGTTCCTTCTGCTTCTCCCTTTGGGTTTCCAGACGTTCCCGTTTTTCCTGTTCACTCTAAGACAAGAAAATACTTAGGTCTAACTCACAGGAAAAGGAAAAAATCCGGGCACATTAAGAATCTTCTCAAGCTAAAAATGACCCGTGAAACATGTTTCCAAATAATCCCAACCAGACGTTCCCGTTTTTCCTGCTCACTCTAAGACAAGAAAATACTTCTGTCTATCTCACAGGGGAAGGAAAAAATCAGGGCACATTAAGAATCTTCTCAAGCGGGGCGCCTGGGTGGCTCAGTGGGTTAAGCCGCTGCCTTCGGCTCAGGTCATGATCTCAGGGTCCTGGGATCGAGTCCCGCATTGGGCTCTCTGCTCAGCAGGGAGCCCGCTTCCCTTCCTCTCTCTCTGCCTGCCTCTCTGCCTACTTGTGATCTCTGTCAAATAAATAAAAATAAAATCTTAAAAAAAAAAAAGAATCTTCTCAAGCTAAAAATGACTCGAGAAACATAAAATGTTTCCAAATAATCCCAATGAAATGCAGAATTCATGAGAGAGGGTAAACAAACAAACAAACAAAAAAACAGAACAAAGATTTCCTCCAGGGTAATTTAGTAAATGTGTTTTCTTTAAGAAAGTGTTTGTCCCTGTCAGAAAAAGAATATGAATACAATGGAGCCTTTTGTTAAGATAGCCTCCCCCCCCCAACCAAATGTCTAGTTAGGACTGAGACAAACTTATCTTAGCCAAGACAGCCTCCCAGGAACTAAACATGCCATTCTCCACAGCCAATTACCACAGATCAACTCCTGAATACTTCCTACAGCCAAATTTTGCAAGAGAATCTAGAGATAAGGAAGGGTGTAGAGAAAGGATTTATAACTCATAACCAGTTTTCTTAAGGCTCTAAAGCCCTCCAGTGCATTATAGACTTCTGCAAAATCAAAAGAATTAAAGCGGGTGCCTGGGGCAGTGAAAAAATAAAATCCAAAAGCCAAGTAATAGGAGTGGGAAGGCAACTATGTTTAAAAAACAAAAAAATATCTGGTAAGTTTCCCCCACCAGTAATTCCTTTCTCTACTGTTGGCCATGAGGTAGTTTCTGCATTTAAATGATTAAAAACCCTTCAGGGTGGTAAAATGTTGCCAAAGTATTCTCAAATACTAGTTCTTCCTTAACTTTCTTGAGTGTCAAAAACAAAACAAAGCAAAGCTAGCCCTTCTTGTGTAGGTATAGAGCTGTATTTTATTTTATTTTTATTTTTTTTTTAAAGATTTTATTTATTTATTTGACAGAGAGAAATCACAAGTAAGCAGAGAGGCAGGCAGAGAGAGAGGAGGAAGCAGGCTCCCTGCTGAGCAGAAAGCCCGATGTGGGGCTAGAACCCAGGACCTGGGATCATGACCTGAGCCGAAGGCAGCGGCTTAACCCACTGAGCCACCCAGGCGCCCCTAGAGCTGTATTTTAAACCAGCAGTCTACAGGATATTAAATTTAACCTTCAGATGGCACTTACCAAGCCCTCCAGAAGATATGAGCGAGAATAAATGAAAAACAACAAATTAACTTTTTGTTCAAGCTATTTATTATTATTTTTTAAGATTTTATTTATTTATCTGACAGAGAGACGTGGCAAGAGAGGGAATAGAAGCAGGGGAAGTGGGAGAGGGGGACACAGGATTCTCGCTGAGCAGGAAGCCCAATGCGGGGCTCCATCTCAGGACCCTGGGATCATGACCCAAGCCGAAGGCAGGTGCTTAACCACTGAGAGACCCAGGCACCCCTCGTTCAAGCTATTTAAAAAGCAGTCCACTTGCTTTAGCTTTACTCAACATGAAAGCAAGCCTTTTCTCAGGATACTTCCTCCCCAAACGTTTCTGTGCTGTGGTTTCTTAGAAACCTGCTGTGGGAGGACCTAACTATCCTTCAGGTTTCCTAGATCTCCCTAGGAAAAGCTGACCATTTCTTTTTTTTTTTTAAAGATTTTATTTATTTATTTGAAACAGAGAGAGATATCACAAGTAGGCAGAGAGGCAGGCATAGAGAGAGAGGAGAAAGCAGGCTCCCCGCTGAGCAGAGAGCCCGATGCGGGCCTCGATCCCAGGACCCTGAGATCATGACCTGAGCCAAAGGCAGAGGCTTAACCCACTGAGCCACCCAGGCGCCCAAGCTGACCATTTCTTGCTCTGCGTTGGGTACACACTTCTCTAGCTCATTTCGCACTGCAATTCTTTGTTGAGGATTCTGTCCCCCAGTCAATGAACTCGTTCTAGGGCAAAGGCCTTGACTTTGCACCCCCAATGCCTAGCACCATGTCCGGCACAGGGTAAGCTCCTAATACACATAAAACAGGTACAGAGCAACATAATCCAAAAAATGAGCTCTGACTAGAAGAAGCTGTCTAGCCAGCCCAAGGAGAAAGAATGGGGAAAAGCTGTGGGTATGTGGAGAGAAGGGTGGAACAGTAAACACAGGATTGCACTGGAAACATTTCAGATTAAAATAAACAAGTCAATATCTGCTACTGATAAGTCTTCTTGGTTAAAACTAACTTAAGTGGGAAGAAAGGCATAAATAGATTGTAACTTGAAGAAGGAAAAGGTGGAAGACAGCAAGTCTCTTGAACACCTCCAACATGCTATCCGCAACTGTGCACTTCGAGAGTCAAAGACTGCAAGGAAATGTTCTCTTGGCCTGGCATACAGACTCTCATTACTCACTGGAAGCTAACTGAGTACATCTCATCACAGTTAGTAAAGGGGCTTCATTTATGGTATCTAGTTATTAGGCAGGATGGGCAAGGAGGTTTAAAATACAGGCATTAGGAAATGTATATAATCAGGAGTAGTGTTTCTTTCGGTTAGTTAGTGATCCCCTGTTCACCAAAGCTCCCACCCACACAAAGTCTAAAAATCAAAGGCGTTTTCCAGATTCCAGGGAAGCAGGAACAGGCAGCAGATCTAACTTTCCATGGATTCCAATTCACTTACACTACATTAACCAGTGTTCTCAACCCCAGATCGGGGTACTTATCAGCAAATGTCTTCGGGTCTTCGGTATATCACGAGGCAACGGCAAGGTGAGCCGGAGCAGCAGTGCTTTGGTTGGTTGCTGCTCCCCTCTGAATAGTCTCCGCTCACCACTCCTCGGTCCCTCACGTCACCGCGTCTGCATCTCTTTCCTTAGATGGACACCGCTGCCATCAGGTTCCCAGGCCTCTCTGTCCCCCTGCCCTTCACAGCAGGACTCACACACCGTCTCACCCCCTCGTCTCGCACGCGCGTCGTACTCACCCAGTCCAGCCGGCTTCTCACCACTGCTACCTCGGTCCCGGTCAGCATCGCCGCCAGCCACCCAACCTCCTATTCCCAAGTCTCTCGGGGTCCGGCCCCAGCTGCTCACCTGGTTCTCGCCCCGCAATCGTGGCCGGTCATCTGGCAGTCCATCGCCGTCGTCGCTGGTGGGGTCCTCGGGTCCCCCATAACCCAGGACGTGAGGGCAGCCGCGGAACGCGAAGTCTTCCAGCTCGCGCAGGAGGCGCTGCTGCTCCGCGGGCGCCCCGCGCACCACCTGGCGCAGGCGGAACTGCACTTGCGCGAAGTGCGAGGACAGCGCGAGCAGTGCCGAGTCCAGCCGTCGCCGCTCGGCCCGCAGACGCCTCAGCGTCCGGCCGGGCGAGTCCGGAGGGGAACCCGGGGCCGCGCCGGGCTCCTCAGCCGCCGCCTCTTCCGAGAACGCGGCCGTCCCAGGCGCGGCCTCCGCCACTGCCCCCACGGGGGCCCAGCGCACGGCCTCGCACGGTGGCAGCGACTCCTCTTCCTCCTCCTCTTCGTCCTTCGCCTTTGGACCAACAGCTACCACCACCGTTACCGGCTCCGCAGCCGCTTCGACGGCCGCCATCTTCCCGGAAACGCCGCCGCACGTCAGCCGCGCCCCCTCACTGCCATGGCAACGGTGCGCTGTCCGGGAAACCCGAAGGAGCTGATGGGCGGGGCTCTACGTCAAACAGTTCTCCGTCACGCGGGGCGGGCCTTCCCAGGGGATTTAATTCGGGCCAATAATTTTTTATTGAGCGCCTACTGTGAATCAGACGCTGAATGCACTGAGCTTTGGAGAAACAGATGAATGAAACCAGGGCCAAGTCATTCAGTGTGCATCTAGTGTGGCCCTTGTCCTGGTTCCCCGCCGGTCGGTCGTCTGTTCCTAATCTGTCCGTTTCTGGAGACACAGATGTGAAGGGCTGTCGGAATTATGCTCTTCCAGAGTTTCTCCGGAGTGCAGATCCCTTGGCTGTAGGGCCATGTTCCCCCTTCCTCTAAAGCCTTCCCCGACCATATAAGGAGAGCCAGCTGCTGGGGGCGTCCCCAGGGTCTAAAGATAGCAGTCCCTGGCTCAGAGTCCAAGCGCCACTGGGTAGCGGGGAGCCGCCATGGCAAGGTGAGTGTTAACTTTTCCTTGGAGATTCCTTGTCCCATATTTTCTGGGCTCTCTGGGTCTTGCGAGGTCCCATGGAAACTCCACATTCCAGGTCTCTGTAATTTTGGGGCTTAGGAATGTTCTCCATAACCCTCTCCCTCACAACTCTGGCAGTCTGGATTCTCCTCAAGTTCACCCTCACTCCACACGTCTCCCCCACCCCCAACTCCCATCGCTCCCCTTTCACCCCCTTCTGTCTCATTTAGCTCCACTATGACAGGGCCATAGCATAAAACGTCCCTAAATTTTCCCTTCCTTCCGGCCTTTCCCAAATGCCCTCAGTCTTCCCTCTCCCACTCCTATGAAGCCCCACCGCAACTCCTCTGCAGGCAGCATGCCCGGACGCTGTGGTACGACAGGCCCAAGTACGTGTTCGTGGAGTTTTGTGTTGAGGACAGCACCGATGTCCATGTGCTCATCGAAGACCACCGTATTGTGTTCAGGTAATGGCACTCCTCTCTGAAGGTCCTGGTTTCCAGGAACCTGTCCCTTCACCTGATGCCCCCACGCTCAGCCTCTGGCATTTCCTCAGCTCCATTGTCTCCTCAGCTGCAAGAATGCCGACGGAGTGGAGTTGTACAATGAGATTGAATTCTATGCTAAGGTGAACTCCAAGGTAATTGTGGGGTGGGACAGTCATGTCTGGATGGAAAGACTGCCTGGAAAATTGGGAGATTCATTCTAAACCTCACATCCTATGAATGATGCTCTCTATCTGGCAGGACTCCCAGGATAAGCGCTCTGGTCGCTCCATTACTTGCTTTGTGAGGAAATGGAAGGAGAAGGTGGCCTGGCCCCGACTCACCAAGGAGGATATCAGGGTAAGTGTGTGGGGCCTGCTCTTTCTCCTGTGCTATCTCTGCACCTGGGGACGTTAGTCAGGGAATCACCCTTGGCTCCTTTCCCACCAACATTTAATCACTCAAAAGTCCTATTTGACTTCCTAAATATTTCTTGAGCTTTTACTTCATCTTTTCCCAATTCAGGCCTCGTCCATCACTGGGTGAGGCTCAGTGCATATTTTCAGCCCCACCCTCAATCCATCCTTCGCATTGCTCCCAGCATGGTCTAAAACATCCATTTGACCCTGTTACTCTTCCACCTAAGACCCTCCAGTGACTTCTTCCCCACTAAAAGTTGAAAATTGGCTATCTCCTGACTGATCTGGCTCTCGGATTTGTTTTCGTAGTCTTCACAGTATTTACAAATTATGTTGATTGGTGACTGACATTTAGTTTTGATTAGTTGCTGACCTATAAAAATGTGGAGATTTCATATAAAACTCCAGATTATCAGCTTTTCTTAGAAAATAGAGACCCTGATCACACTGGTCTAAATTTCCAAATGCCAGGGGTGCCTAGCTGGCTCGGTCAGTAGAACACGTGGCTCTTGATCTCAGGGCTGTGAGTTCAAGCCCCATGTGCAGAGATTACTTAAAAAAATAAATAAATTCTAGGGGCGCCTGGGTGGCTCAGTTGTTTAAGCCTCTGCCTTCACCTCAGGCCATGATCTCAGGGTCCTGGGATCGAGCTCCACATCGGGCTCTCTGCTCAGTGGGGAGCCTGCTTCCCTCTCTCTCTTTCTCTGCCTGCTTCTCTGCCTACTTGTGATCTCTGTCTGTCAAATAAATAAATAAATAAATCTTTTAAAAAAATAAAAATTAAAAAAATAAATTCTCAAATGACTTGAGATGGAGCTTTAAATGGAGCATGCGCACCACGGCACTTTAATCCTTTTCGTTAGTTCCCTCTTTCAGGCATTTGATCTTTGGGTTGAAATCCAAACACTATAGCATGACATATAAGCTCATGACCTGGCTACTCTTCCCTTCTGTAGCATTATATCCCATTAGCCGTTGCCTTAAACTTCACATTCCAGCCGTAGCAAATGGCCTACAGCTCTTTGGCCACACACCAGGCTATTTCTCACTAATTTACCTTTGCTCAAGCTGTTTTTTCTTCCCGGAAAGCCTCCATCGTCAGTACCTGTGCCCACCCAACCCTGGCTCATCCTTTGAGTCTCTGCTACTCTAAGCAGCCTAGGTTCCTATAGCTCCTGTCTGGGTTTCCACAGTATCCCCTGTGTAAGCCGCCACCAAACTTTCCACACTGTATTATAATGATTTATTTAAATTTCCCTTCCCCACTTGCTTCGTGATGGCTGGGGCTATATATCAAAAACATTTGAATAATCCCAATGCCAAGCTCAGAGACTGGCACATAGTATGTGTTCAATAAGCAGCTGTTAAATTAATGAGGAAGTAACTTCCTATCTAAGTGTAGGAACTTGGAACACAGGTCTCCAAGAGTTTTCTCCCGACTCCAGGCAATGCAGCTTGTCGGTCTTGCTTGGTTGATTCCTAGATACTTTATGACCCAGTTATCTTTCCAGATGTATTACTTACGTCTTTAGTCACTCGGCTTCTGGAGGGCGGAATTTCTATGCTTTTCTGTCCCCTACAATGTCTGGCCTTGTGCGTGGGACTTAGTAGGTTCCTGGCAAATCTTTGTGGATGATGATGACGGCATTCTAGAGAGGGAGTAGTCCAAGAGGTGCTTTTGGGAAGACAGCGCCCCCCTTTGACCTTCTTTGCCCCACGTATGCTCCGTGCTTACGGCTCTGCTCTTCCCCCACTTCTGCGCTTCCCCTATGACGCTCTGCGCTTTCCTCTTGCAGCCAGTGTGGTTGTCCGTGGACTTTGATAACTGGAGGGACTGGGAAGGGGATGAAGAGGTGGAGCTGGCTCAGGTGGAGCATTATGCAGAGGTAATACCGTTTCCTGCCCCTCCTGCTCATTCTCTGCGTCTCCCTGGACCCATTTCTCTGGAGGACTGTCATCAGGGCTAGACAGACATACACGAACTCCCCTCATTGGTGCTCATATTCTTTACATGTTGTGGGCAATGTTTATTCAGTAGGATGAGAGAAAGGAGTACTAGTGAGACCACATATATGCGTTCACTCACTAGTTACTAGTTACTAGTTCACTCACTAGTTACTAGTTATTAGTTACTTAGAGAAAGTTTGGCAAAACCTTTCCCAACTCTTCTGTAACTCTTGTTCTCCTGTTTTCTCTGTGTATGTGTGTTTTCTGAGCTGCACAACTTCATGGGAAGCTCAGACTGGGCAGTATAAAAATTCACATCATAAAACAAATTATGGGGGCGCCTGGGTGGCTCAGTGGGTTAAGCCTCTGCCTTCGGCTCAGGTCATGGTCTCAGGGTCCTGGGATCGAGCCCCGCGTCGGGCTCTCTGCTCAGCAGGGTGCCTGCTTCCCTTCCTCTCTCTCTCTGCCTGCCTCTCTGCCTACTTGTGATCTCTGTGTGTCAAATAACTAAATAAAATCTTTAAAAAAAAAAATTATGGGACGCCTGGGTGGCTCAGTTGGTTGGACGACTGCCTTCGGCTCAGGTCATGATCCTGGAGTCCCGGGATCGAGTCCCGCATCGGGCTCCCAGCCCCACGGGGAGTCTGCTTCTCTCTCTGACCTTCTCCTTGCTCATGCTCTCTCTCACTGTCTCTCTCTCAAATAAATAAATAAAATCTTAAAAAAAAAAAAGAAAAGAAAAGTCTATAAAACAAATTACTAGTTTCCCATTAAGTTGCATCCTGCCATACATTATTTGGTTTTAGAATTTCAGCTACTGTTTATTCAAGTTGCAGAAACACTGACAGACCCTAACATGGATTAGTAAGGAGGATGCTCTGTGTGTGTCGATTTCCTTTTATTTTATTTATTTTTTTATTTGACAAACAGCAATCACAAGTAGACGGAGAGGCAGACAGAGAGAGAGGGGGAAGCAGGCTCCCTGCCGAGCAGAGAGCCCGACGTGGGGCTCGATCCCAGGACCCCGGGATCATGACCCGAGCCAAAGGCAGAGGCTTTAACCCACTGAGCCACCCAGGCACCCCTCGATTTCCTTTTAAAAAGGGGATCGGGGGACGCCTGGGTGGCTCAGTTGGTTAAGCAGCTGCCTTCGGCTCAGGTCGTGGTCCCAGCGTCCTGGGATCGAGTCCCGCATCGGGCTCCTTGCTCGGCGGGGAGCCTGCTTCTCCCTCTGCCTCTGCCTGCCATTCTGTCTGCCTGTGCTCACTCTCTCTCTCTCTCTCTCTCTGACAAATAAATAAAATCTTAAAAAAAAAAAAAAATAAAAATAAAAAGTGGATCGGGGCACCTGGCTGGCTCAGTTGGTGGAACGTACATCAGCTCTTGATCTCAGGACTGTGAGTTTGAGCCTCATATCAGGTGTTACATAAAAATAAAATGTTAGGGGCGCCTGAGTGGCTCAGAGGGTTAAGCCTCTGCCTTCAGCTCAGGTCATGATCTCAGGTCCTGGGTCCTGGGATTGAGCCCCGCATCAGGCTCTCTGCTCAGCAGGGAGCCTGCTTCCCCTCCCCCCCACCTCTGCTTGCCTCCCTGCCTACTTGTGGTCTCTGTCAAATAAATAAATAAAATCTTTAAAAAATACAATAAAATGTTAAATAAAAATAAAAATTATTGAAAAGGGGATCTATTTACTTTTCTCCAGTTTGTTCTGGTGATGTGTTAGGGGCTGGAAAGATGGGGCAGTTTTTTGACTGGGAGATTCTCCTGCGGCCCATCAGCATACAGGTTGCTCTCCCCCTGCCCTTCTTTTCTCTCGTAATTGCTTTCCTCTTTCCACTAGCTTTTGAAGAAGGTCAGCACCAAGAGACCTCCCCCTGGCATGGATGACCTGGATGTAAGTAAAGCCTGCCTCTTGACCCTTCAGTTTCCTTTTAATGCTAAAAAATGAGATACTAGAAAGCTCTTGTCCTGTTCTCTAGCACACAGTAGATCTCAATGCATGGCAGCCAAGTTTGAATTTGACACAGGAGGTTGAATGTTCTTCTCCAGGCTGTAGAAAACCCCAACAAAGCAAGACCCTCCACCCTCCCGTCTCCCTTTTGCTTCTCTATCCTAGAGCCGACCTGGCCCCCTGGACTGTCTTTACAGCTGTCGGGAGCAGTGACATGAATTGGAATTCTGAAACCAAATGATGCTTGACAGAGCACTGTTTACTGAACACCAGGGGTTGATTTTATTTTCCAAAGTATAAACCCTTCCGTGTTAGCCTGCCAGGAAGTTGTGTGATTTAGAAAATCACAAAAGAAAACTTGGGAGAGCAGGAAGGAGTGAGAAGAGTTGATGAACACAAATGCTCATGCTTTGCAGATTCTACAGGTGCTTTTGTCTTTTTTTTTCTTTCCCTAGGATGATTCTGATAGTGCTGATGCAACAAGTAATTAACTTCTCTGCGGCAGAGCTGGGAAGGAAGCTTGGGGTGCCTTCCTTCTTTAAAAAATTTGACAGAGAACGCATATGAGTGAGCAGGGGGAAGGGGCAGAGGAAGAGGGAGAGAGAATTTCAACAGATTCCCTGCTGAGCCCAGAGCCTGATGTGGGGCTCCATCCCAAGGACTCTGAGATCATGACCTGAGCTGAAATCAAGAGTCGGCCACTTTACCGACTGAGCCACCCAGGCGCCCCTTTCGTGAAGCTCTTTTTAAGGGTCCTCTTCATGTATAATTTCTTCTTCCTAGGCACCTGAGTATGGCTGCATCAGATGGCAGGATAGGAGAGGAGTAGGCTGTTGGGGCTTCTGACTTTCTACCAATTACCTGTAATCTTTGTGTTTGGACCAGTCATCAGGTCTCTGTTGAGTATTCGAGCATGTGTATATACTTGGCAGAGCAAAAGCCAAAGAAGCAGCAGATAGATTATAATAAATCCGTAAGAACTGTTTTCTGTTTCTTTTCTTCTTGCACTTGTTCCACCTGGAGGCAGACCTCTTCTACCTCTGTTGTTCCTCTCCAGGGGAGGGGTGGTGTCACAGATCCTGGTCCTCACTGTTGAGTTTGGAAGCAGAAAGATGTTGGGAGCAGGCTTGTAACCAAACTGGGGAACTCTCCCATGCCCAGGTCAGTGCTCCTGTTTCTCAGACCATAACCAGCCTTTGCTATATTGCTACCCCTAGAACCATGTACCTACTGCCACCCCTAGAACTAGCCAGAAACCCACCTCAGCTTTCTGCATACTCCAGAAATTCTTTCAAAGAAATACTTTCAAAGCTGATTGTTACATTAGTTAATGCCTATATGTCTACTCTTCTGTTCATCAGCTACCTCATTCATCCATAAACATTTTTTGAGTGCATAATGTATACTTAAAAAAATGCCATACCCAGACTTTGCCCTTGAACTCATAGTAAAGTACTAAGATTTCTTTAAAAAAATTGAACTTTATAGGGTTTATATTGCTAATATATAGACATAGTTTAATGGCAGCCAAGTATAGAAGGGTATACAATTTATTTATTAAAGATTTTTAAAGCAATTTTATTTATTTATTTGAGAGAGAGAGAGCCAGCGAGCTCACATGAATGGGATGGAGGGGCAGGGGGAGAGGAAGAGGCAGATTCCCTGCTGAGCAGGGAGCCCGACATGGGGCTCAATCTCAGGACCCCAAGATCATGACCCAAGTGGAACTGACTCAGGCCAACTGACTGAGCTTCCACTTCAGAGCCTGGGTGCCCTAAAGGGTATAAAATTTAAAGTAGAATTTGTACTCCCTCAATAGGAGTAGCCACTTTTTTTTTTTTTTTAAAGATTTTATTTATTTGAGAGAGAGAGAGACTGAGAGAGACAGAGCACAAGCAGGGCAGGGGGAGAGGGACAAGCAGACTCCCCACTCTTGGAGGGAGCAAGGACCCTCCCCCCAACATAGGGCTCGATCCCAGTATTTTGGGATCATGACCTGAGCCAAAGGCAGACGCCTAACCAATTGAGGCACCCAGGTGTCCCACTGTAACCAGAGTTAACAGTTTCTAATTATTTTGTTTTATTTTTTATTTTTTATTTTTTTTAAAGATTTTATTTATTTGACAGACAGAGATCACAAGTAGGCAGAGAGGCAGGCAGAGAGAGAGAGAGGAAGGGAAGCAGGCTCCCTGCTGAGCAGAGAGCCCGATGCGGGACTCGATCCCAGGACCCTGAGATCATGACCTGAGCTGAAGGCAGCGGCTTAACCCACTGAGCCACCCAGGCGCCCAATTTTGTTTTATTTTTTTAAGGTTTTATTTATTTGACAGAGAGAGATCACAAGTAGGCAGAGAGGCAGGCAGAAAGAGAGAGGCGGAAGCAGGCTCCCCGCTGAGCAGAGAGCCTGATGTGGGACTTGATCCCAGGGCCCTGAGATCATGACCTGAGCTGAAGGCAGAGGCTTAACTGACTGAGCCATATAGACATATAGACAGATAAACCAAAGCAGTGTGTCTACATAATTAGAATCATACTATGCACATCTTGAGCCCTGCTTTTTGTACTTAATATATATTGGGACTCTTTCCAAATTAATATATACAGATCCACCTCTTTTTCATGGCTACATGGTATTCAATTGAGTATATTGTCCATAATTTAGCTGATTCCTTATTGAGGGACATTTAAGTTGTTGTTGGTCTTTTTCAGTTTTCAAACAGTGCTGTAACGAACGTTTAAAAACATGTATCTTTACATATCTGGAAAGAATATCTGTAAAGTAGATTTCTAGAAGTGGAATTGCCAGGTCAAAGAATAGATACATTTATTTATTTATTTTTAAAAATATTTTATTTATTTATTTATTTATTTGACAGACAGAGATCACAAGTAGGCAGGCAGGCAGAGAGAGAGAGCGGGAAGCAGGCTCCCTGCTGAGCAGAGAGCCCAATGTAGGGTTAATCCCAGTGTTATGCCCCAATACTGAGTCCGTGATTAAAGGAGCTAGACTGATACAAAGCGAAGGTCAAGCAAAGCTTTATTTCGCGCCAAGTATCAAGAATCAGACCGACCGTCAAACAGACCGGTGGGGGCCGCCCCTTACAGAGAGGACGACTCCTCCCTGCTTTCCAGACTAACTTTTATAGAGCAAAGGCCCTGTGGTTGGGCCTGGCCACACACAGGTGGCTAATTGAATTACAATTCACCCCACAGTAGCCATAGAAACTAGCCCATCACCTTGGTAGCTAGGAGACAGTATGCGCCTCCACCTGGCCTGACCCACCCTTGTATTTGAGCTTTGTTACCTGAGGCTGGTTTCCGGGACTTAAGTAAGTTCCCTGGGAGAAGGGGAGCAGGGACAGTTTAGGGTTAAAAAACAATGTTATTGTTTAACCTCAATGGAAGCCTCTGGCTAAAATAGAAAAATACAAACTAGGTCCTTACACCCAGGACCCTGAGATCATGACTTTAGCCGAAGCCAGAAGCTTTAACCCACTGAGCCACCCAGGCGCCCAAGAGTAGGTACATTTAAACATTTTGATAGCTGTTGCCAAGTTGCTCTTAGATGAAATTGAACGGCTTCCTGCTTCCACCAAGTGCAGCATTCTCCAAAACCTTTTAGATATTTGTGAAGGTAAAAAGGTATACCTGATTTAATGTACTTTTATTAATTATAAGGTGTTCATTTTTATTTTTATTAGTAATTGGTATTTCTTTTAAGGAGTTCTGTCTGTATGTTTGCCCATTTTACTGTTGACATTAAAAAATTCTGATAATACAAAGTTATATTTGTATCATGCTTTACAATTTACTAAGTCTATATATTATCTCATTAAAATTTTTTGAACCTCAAATCAACCTTATAATTAGGTCTTTTCTTCATAGGTGATTGAACAGGTCATAATAAGTGGCAGAATTGGGACTTGAGCTTGTATAGCATGTGTCCTTCCTCTTACCCACAATTCTGAAAACCAAAAAGTTCTGAAAACCCACTTAAAAAAAAAAAAAAAAAACCTGACAGCAAAACTCATTTGGCAGCAAAACCTAACCTAAAAAGACGTGCTACTTATAGTATTTGCTTATTTTGTGTAGTGCATTTATTTCTCAGCATAAATGTGTTTGATGACATGATGCTCGAGTGTGTTACATAACACATGGGGTATGCTCAGCATTACTGCTTAAAATCCTAAAAGTCCTAAATTTTGAAACACCTGGAGTCTTCAGACTTTATTATTAGCTGATTCAGGAGAGCAGGAAGTTAATTTTAACATCTAATCCGTTTAACGTTTTAAGGTACTGATTACAGTTTGTAATTTGCGTTAGCCTTGCTTATCTACACTCTCCAGTTAGGTAGCACTAGTGACCTGTAGTTACTGAGGGCATGTGATTATTGAGCACTGAGATGTGGCCACTGCACGCTGAGATGTGCTTTAAGTGCAAAATACGCATCAGCTTTCGAAAATTTTGTGCGGAAAAAATCTCACTCATTTTTGCATTCGTTATTACACATTAACATAATATTCTGAATCTGCAGCTTTCAATACAATATTAGCATATGGGGCTTGCACTAATTTCTATTGGGCAGCCCTGCCGTCTATCCAAATCGGTACCACCCAGCCGAGAATGCGCGGGGCTAAACTGAGTGCTTTGACAAGTTCAGGTCGCGTGTAGTTTTGTTTTATTTGGTCTTCTGGTCCTTTCCAAAGTCTTCGCACAGTTGGTAGGCGCCCCAGAACACTTGCAAATCGTAAATCGCGTTTGCAGTAAATTTGTCCAAGCCACACCCCGTCCTTTGCCCTCTTGCTTCTGCGCAGAGGAGACGCGCCCGCAGTGAAGATTGTCCCACGCGGCTTTCCGTCGGCCCGCCGGCGTTCCAGTGTATGCAACTTCCCGCGTCCCGGGAGACGGTGGCGATGGCGTTCCGGTGTCAGCGGGACAGCTACGCCCGCGAGGTACGGCTGGCTGGGCGAGGGCGCGTGGGGCGGTGCGGGAGGAGGGCGCCGCGTGGAGCAGGGTGCTGAGGGAGACTCAGTCCCGGTGGCCTGAGGGCTGGGGTCGGGCTTATTTTCTGTCCCTCTATGTGCAGTTCACCACCACCGTGGTCTCCTGCAGCCCCGCCGAGCTGCAGACCGAAGGAAGCAACGGCAAGAAAGAAGTGTTGAGTGGCTTCCATGTGGTGCTGGAAGACACGCTGCTTTTCCCCGAGGGCGGGGGACAGGTACCACCCCGCGCCTCACCGCGATCCCCCTCCCAGGAAGCCCCTCATTCCTTTCTGCTCAGGTGGGAAACGCCCTCCTGCCCCTCTACCCCAGCCGTGATACAGATCGAAGTTCGTTCAGTTCCGGTCATTTGTTCACCCAACAGATATTTGTTGGGCTGTAACGTATGCTGTGTGCTTATTTCAGGGACTAAGGATAAGGAGTGAACAAGGTAGCATCTGTACCTATGTAGAATACTTATCGGAGAAGACAAACGAAGTGGTAAATAGATAAAATAGAATGCCCGGTATAGTAAGTGCTATAAAGAAAATTAAAGCTTGAGGGAAAGACAG